CGGCCGGCAGCCCCACCCCCACCCCAGGTCTCGAGGCGCGGGTGGGTGGGCGTCACCCCCGCGTCCAGACCGCACACTTCCTCCCGGGGCGCCGACGTGAGGCCCGGCTGCCAGGCGCCCTGCGGGCGGACCCCGCCCCAAGACACAAAGGCAAGAGGAACACTTGGGCGGTCGCTCCCACGCTCCGGCACTAGCTGCACCGCGGCGGGAGCCAGTGGCCCTCGGGACGCCCCGGCGGCCACTTCAAGTCCTCGCTGGTCCCTACTGGTCCAGACGCCTCGCCTTCGGCACCGTCAACCTTTCCGCACCGAAATAAAGGATCCGCATCCGCCGGTCCACTCCGCTGCAGTACCGCAAGGTAGTGAAAACTCGGCGGACCCGCCCAGCCGGACCGCGGGCGTCCCCCTAAGCAAATAAACACAACCCTGACTCGCTGGGCGGCCGCCTGCGCCGCGCTGGGCCAAAGCGAGCCCCGCCCCTCTCGGGGCGTGGCTAAGCCACCGGAGCGCGCTGCGCTCCAGCCAGAATGTGACTGAGGTCTCGGGGGCGCGCTCGACGCTGCGCGCGCGGCCCCGCCGACCCCGTCCCCTGGGCGCTCGGCTCTCCTCCTGTTCGCGGCAATTACGCAATTCCGGAAGTGGGGTCGCGGCGCGCCTCAGCTGGAGGGCTAGGCGCCCAGCTGCTGGGAAATGCTGTGGAGCCGCAAGCATGGCGGGCACAGGCTGGGGCTGGGTTCTGGGCGGTGCCAAGCCTTTGAGGGGGCGCGGTCTCCGCCCGAGACTCCCGAGAAGGCTAAAAGCGCCACGTCCCGTTCCCTTCCCGTTCTGCCCGAGTGAAAAAGGGCCCCTCGCCTCGATCGTTGTTCCTCAGGGCTCGCAGACATGTCGGAGTTGAAGAGCCGGAAGAAGTCGTCGACCAAGGCGGCGTCCGCAGAGCCCGGGAGGCCGAGCGAGGGAGGGAAGAGCCTCGCGACCCCGGGCGGTGGAGGCAGGGGCTGGGCGGACCCCCGGACAGGCCTGAGCCTGCTGTCGCTGGGGACATGCCTGGGCCTGGCCTGGTAAGTGGACGCGAGACGAAGTCCGCTGTCCTGCCCGCCGTGGTCGCCCCACTCCGCATCCCTGCCCGGCCCCACCCCGCTCCGCTGCCGCTCACCTCCAGCCCGCTAACTTTCAGCCTCCAGGTCGTTCTCCGCCCCAAGAAGGGGCCGCCTAAAGTGGCTGTTGCCTTCCCTCCTTTCTTGTAATGGGCTTTTCTTCGGTACTAGTAAATGAATAAATTGCAGGTATTTTTAATTTTTCTTTCGTACTCGTAGGGAGCCGCGACAGCAGTTCGAAACCACCAGCGCTTCCGCTGGAGAAAGACGGGGCTTTCTACTCCGGTAAAGAGTTAACACTCAGAAACCCACCCGGGCAATTTTACCCTTGCCCTCTTAGGGTGGCTGTGAGAGTTGCTCTGCAGTTGGCTTGATAGCAGTGAGTTGGGTGCTTTGGGTTTTTTCCTGTACAGTTCACTTGGAGTTGAGACGAAGATGTAGGAACCAGTCAGCCATGCAGATTCCTCTAAATGTTGTAAGACATCGTAACCATTCGAAGCTTTCCTGTTTTTGTAAGCCGATACTTTTGTCCCCGAGCTTTTGTCTAGGGCAGTGTTACCCCCTCTTCCTAACCCTCCTAGCCATCAATGCTAAGGAAAACATTTGCAACTTTTTTTCACTATGGTTTCAAAGCAATGAATATTGATAACGTGGTACTTATACATTTGGTTGCTAACCACAAGGTTAGCAGTTCAAAACTACCAGCAGTCTTGAAACGGAAAGATGAGCTTTTTACTCAGGTAAAGAGTTACAATTTTGGAAAACCACAGGGACAGTTCCATGAAGGGTTGCTCTGAGGCGCAATTGACTCATGGTAGTGACCACGTATTGGGAACTTAAGTCTTTTCCTAAGTTACACATTGAACTTTTAATGCTGTAAAAGTGCAAAAGTATAGTAGTAGTGTTCACTTATAACTAAGCAAATATTCACTGACGACTAACCAAGTAAATAATGATAAATGAATACAGAAGTAACCATAACCCACTTTATTTTCTCCAGTCACTTTCTTTTGGGGAAATAGAACACGATTTCATTTTAATAACAAAAAATTCCCCAGGAATTCCTATTTAGAAGATGGTTTTGAACAATAGTAGAGTTCCTGGGGAAAATGATTGCACCCTCTGTTACCACCCACAAGGTGGGTACTTTATATCCACAAAGACCTGGTAATCTGCTTTCAGAAAGGTCACTAATGACTATCCTGGAAAAAACTCCCAATAGGGAAATAAACTTTGAGGGGGGAGAAAAGTATTGAGAAATAGATGCTTCCACTCAGGAATTTACTGTTAGTATCTGTAATAAATACAACCATTTTACATTCATTAGGATGATTTTATTTGCAAAGATTTTTATTACAAATAATGTTGAGTCAAATTATATCTAAAGTTGGCAGATGCTATGGTTGTTTCTGAAAACAGTTTGACTTAGTAATTTAGACAAAACTCACTGTCTTCCACTCAATTCCAACTCAGTGACCCTATAAGACAGAGTAGAACTACGCTGGGTTTCCAAGACTAAATCTTAGGGATATAGGGATATAGAAAGTCTCCCACAAAGGGACTGGCAGTTCCAAGTTGCTGACCTTGCAGTAACAGCCCAGCATGTGGCCCACTTTGCTGGGATGGCTTGTGGAAAGGTCACAGGCATGTATGAAACTATTTTACTCTGCAACAGAATCAACAAAGCAGCACCTGGTTTTGTTTATTACTAAAACCTCATATACAGTAGAAAAGGGATGCAGGACATCCACTAATCTGAAACGTTTGTGATGCTAGTATATTTCTAATTGTACTTTACTGGTGACATATTTCTCAAAGTTAGTAGATGTATAGTGATATAGTAAAATGTTGATTATTAAATGTTCTTTTCCCCAAAATGATTGTTAATTCTAGCAGTGTATGGTGTGTTGATTTTTTTCTTTATCTAAGAACAGATGTGCTGAATTTCTTATTTTAGATAAATTGCTCTTTTGCCTTAAAATTCATACCCTTCTTAGACCCTAAAAACTCTTTGTGTAATGGAAAAGTTGTTCAGTAAGAGATTTTGGGGAGCTAAATGAGATGTTGCATCTTTTTGGAACCTAATACAACTGGTTTTAGCTACTAGATCTATTAGTTTAATTCTTATTTAACTAAAGCTTCATATTCATATAAGATAAATAACATAACAAAATGTTCAGCTTTTAAATACTAATTACTATCCTAGAAAAAACTCCCAATAGGAAAATAAACTTTGAGGAGGGAGAAAAGTATTGAGAAATAGATGGTTCAGCTCAGGAATGTACTGTTAGTATCTGCAATAACC